CTTCCTTCCTTCCTTCCTTCCTTCCTTCCTTCCTTCCTTCTGAATGTGACTTTGGGGGAGAAAGAGAAAGAAAGTTTCCCTAACTCCCCAGGTCAGTGTTTTCCTTCTCAAATCACATCATGTTTGTAAAATTATAAACTCTAAGCTGGCATAGTCCATCAGAAATGTAATGCAAGCCACGTATGTAATTTAAAAATTTTCTAGTAGTCACTTTAGGAATGCAAAAAATAAATTACTTTTAATAATATATTCTATTTAATCTGATATAGTTACAATACACCTTAAGTATGTAATAAAAATAAATTACTAATGTAATATTTCACATTCTTTTTTAAAAAGTTAAATGTTTGAAATCCTGTGCATATTTTATATTTACAGGGCATCTCAATTCACATTTGCCATATTCCAAGTGCTTAAGAGCCACACATGGCTAGTGGCTACCATATTGATTAGCCTAGCTCTAAACCATTTTTAAGTGATTTCGCAACATTTAGCATAGCATATTCCTCTTTCAACTTTCAAGTCTGTAAAATAATAGTTCTAGATAAGGTCTAGAATTCTATTTTGGGAGAGCTAATTAAAGAATAAGAACATGTTGAAATACTATTCATTCAACAATTGGATTTTGAGGGCTTTTTATGTAGCCTAGGGCTGTAAATTCAGAGTTGAGTAAGACTTTCCTTGGCCCTAGTGAGTTTGCAGTAGATGAATAGTAGGAGATAGACTTATAAAAAGATTTATTGCAATATAAGGGCTAAAAACTGCAACGAGGGCATCAAAGTTATGCTAGGGAAGCAAAGAGGTGCAAAAAATTGTCTTCCTAGGAAGAGTCTGGAAAGCTTGACAGGGGAGGAGGAAATATTTCAGTTGACTTTTGAAAAATGATTTGGAATATGCTGGGCACAGAAGAGGAAAGAAAATTACAGGTGGAAGAAACAGAATGTATCTAGGTAGGAGCCATGAAGAAGTGGAAGAGGGAAACTAACATAATTTGGATATCTGCCTTATGCCACCCACCATCCTGGACAAGTGATTTTAGTGTTGAAAGGGCAAAGCATTTGAGGAACAGTAGCAAGTTCAAAGGTCTAGTTCTTAGAATGTAAGGAGCCAAGATGTATGTGAAGAGGTTGGTTTGGGCTGGATTTTGAAGGGCCTCATGTACCATACTAACAAGATGAGTATAATTTGGAAGTAGTTTTACATGGCAGTAAACCATACGTATTGGGATCAGACTATACCGTATTTGAATTTGAGCTCCATTACTTAATAACTTTGTGACTGTGAGTTACTTATGCTTCTTCAGTGGTTTTCATTTGTAAGATGAGGATAACAGTGTCCACCTTAATTTCCCAGAGAATTAAAGGAGATAAATATTAATAGAGAGCATTTTAGCACAGGACCTGGCACATAGGAAGCATTCCTTAATGATAGATACGATTGTTATTATTAAAGATGGCAATAGAGACCCAGGAAAGGTAGGGGTGTGTGTGTGTGTGTGTGTGTGTGTGTGTACTATTCAGTAATTCTGGTGAAGGTTATGGTGATCTGGCTGCAGAAACAGGCAGTAGAGAGACATTTAGAAACTTGTTGCAGAGATGGAGAAATGATGGAGTCAGATCTAAGGCAGTGAGAAGTAGAGATGGAGAGAATGACTGCAGAGGTGGAGGAGGGCATTATGTGAGGCATTTCTGAAGGGTACTGAATGAGTCTGAGTGATTGGATAGGGGTGGAGCTTGGAGAGAAGAAAGTTGCCCTAAAGTCGAGGGCTTGGGGGAGTTGGCTAAGGAGAACACGTATGATTAGAAAGTGTTCAGGGGGAAGCTGGTGATTTGGGGGAATAAGAGATAGAAATAGATTTGCAGACCATCAACAGACTGATGGTAGGTAAGCTGTGGGCAAGAAAGAGCCATTCCAGAAAAACATGTGAAGTGAGAAGAGGAAAGTGACAGGTCCCAAGGGAAATTCCTCAGTTTATGGGTTGGTCAGTTTAAAAAATTAGAAGAAAGTTCAGAGAGATAGAAGGAAGATTGGAGAGAGTGGTGTTGTGGAGGCAAAAGAAAAAGTAAATTAAGAAATCAGGGATAGTTATTGTGATAACAGGATGCATAACACACAGGATCCTATGCAGTGGCTCCATACAAGAAGTTCACTGCTTTTTGTAAAAGTCCAGTTCAGTGTGTGTGTGTGTGTGTGTGTGTGTGTGTGTGTATGTGTGTGTTTGTGTGCACTTGTGTTGAGGTAATGTTCTGCTCCAAGAAGTTACTCAGGAACCCAGGTTGATGCAACCTAACATTTTTATCCTTACTTTTTTTGGGTCACCTTGAGAATAGATCCCCTTACCAGACAACCAGGAGAGGAAAAGAACTTGGAGGAGCAAAAGGAGGAGACAAACCCCCTCCAGCATAACACCAGGCCTGAGAATAGAGCGCCACACTTCTCCGGGAAGGAACCTAATCTCTCAGCCCCACCCAACTGCAATGGAAGCTGGGAAATGTAGTCTAGCCAGGTACCTAGGAGGAAGAAGAAATAGATTTAGTAAATGGCAAGCAGTCTTTGCTATGGGAAGGTTCAGAAGTCTAGATTAAAAGAAAGTGGAACAGTAAGTGTGCAGTTTGGTAAATGGATCACTGGTGACTTCCACAAGAATATTTTAGCAGGGCCCTGTGGAGTGGCAGAGTAGAGGGCTCTGCTGATCATAAGAAGAATACAAGCCACTCTTCATACCCTTGTTCTTTCCAGGAATTACCAGGAGCTATCGTCAGCCTGAATTCTAGTCACCTGTTTGCTACAGAATGGAAAAACTAGTCACCATAGTAAAACCAAAGCTTTTTCTTTCTGCAGAGAGCCACAAAGCCTCAGCATACTGCAGT